AATTGCTAAGCGCAGTCCTCCATGACGCAAACCGCCTTCTGCCTCCCTAGACCATTGCTAAGCTCAGTCCTCCATGACGCAAACCACCTTAGGCCTCCCTAGACTACACCTGCATCACCGCTTCCAACTCACGTCGACTCAGTCGCACACCCATCACGAACACCGGAAGGAGTCGGTTCGGCTCGTCGCCAGCACCACTACCGAATCCATACATCAGAACATCTGCATCCTAGGTGTCTCTGGCAAAAGTCAAATCAGAAGCTAGTGTCCAATTCAAACTGCGATCAAAGGCGAGGGTTTGAATCTGCCTCACCCTTGGCTCTCAGCAATCAGATTAGCACTTGCCGCACCAAGCCACATTCAGATGTGACCTAGATTCCGTTTACAGATATTACTGAATATATGGTTGGTCGTAAATTTGGCGAATTTGCTTCTTCACGTAAAACTCCAAAAACAACAACGAATTTAACGAAATGAAAAAAAGAAAAGCAAAAAATGGCACAAAAAGTCAACCCAATCTCAGTCAGACTCAATGTGAACCGTAGTCCTTTATTTTTTTTCCCTTTTTTTTCCGTAGTCCAGGTTCTTTTTGGTTGAGTGAGGGCGACGGTGCAAGTTGACGAATCACACTGCCCACTATGGCATAGTTAAGTGGGACGTTGCACATGTCCGCAACGAGACAGACACGACTTATTTCATGCGTGGAGCATGCATGAAAGAAGCCAGTCGCCAAAGCCAAAGATGCAGGTCTGGAACCGGTCAGTTCCATAACTCTCAAAACTCCAAAAAAAAAAAAACACGTGGGCAGTGCCCTGGTCCCTTGAAAAGACCGGTCACACAAATCAGGCTAACACCTCCCACACCAAGCTACATTTAGACAATACAGTAATATACCTACCTCAGGGTGGCCAGCGTTCGGGACGGGCCGAACGCCCGAACCCGAACGCTCGAACGTACTGGACCCCTTGGGGATGCGTTCGGTCGTTCGAGCCGAACGCGGACCCAAAAAAA